CCCCTTTTCGTTCTACCGCCCCCCTGAAAAATGAAATCGCCCCCTGGGGGGCATTATTGCCCATGTTAAGAACCACTGTCCTAGAGTATCGGTGTTCAATTCTCCACTGTGCATCACAAAAAAACAGCCTATGTATGTCATCAACAACAACAACAACCACCACAGTAACAATAACTGCCTTCTTCATAGATCCAGACTTAGTGGAATTTTTTGAACACGGTCTCTAGAATGGTAGTTGAGTCATGGCAACTGGACTTCTTTCTTGTTAGGTTGAAATGTTTTGCTATATCGGTGTTCAATTCTCCACTGTGCATCACAAAAAAACAGCCTATGTATGTCATCAACAACAACAACAACCACCACAGTAACAATAACTGCCTTCTTCATAGATCCAGACTTAGTGGAATTTTTTGAACACGGTCTCTAGAATGGTAGTTGAGTCATGGCAACTGGACTTCTTTCTTGTTAGGTTGAAATGTTTTGCTACTCCTCCAAGTAGCTTCTTCAATCTGAGGAGAGTTGGTAGGAGATCCCCGATATATCCTCCATGTTGGTTTCTCTTCCCCTGGTCTGAAAAGGCTTGTTAGATGGCCAATGGATGGTGTGTGTATGTGTGAAGCTACTTAGATGAGTAGCACAACATTTCAAACTAATAAGAAAGAAGTCCAGCTGCCATGACTCAAATTCCAGATAAGCTCACCTGGATGACTGAGAATCTTCACAGATATTTGAATTAGTAGAACTTAGATTAAGTGGTTTACCATTCCCTTCTTCTCAGGACATGCTGGGACTCTGCAGCTTCCCTTAGGCTACACAGGTTGTCTCCTTGCCCTGGAAGTGGAGAATCGAAATCCCAACCTCTTGTTCCGCAACCTAACACACGAACTAACAAAAGGTCATGCGGCGTATAAACAACTATCCCCTTTTATTTTACACTATGAAATATACCTAGCTTCACCATGTTAGAGACCCATTAGGACAATTCATCATCTTCTATTCCTCCCCATCTTCCCACCACCCACTTCATACCCTAGTCTTCAAACCACTACTCTCACCTCTCTGGCTTGGTTCCAAAGGGTGGAGCCATACAAACAATATTGCTTTTAGCAACCTTATCAGCAGTGAAGGCCAAATCTGCAATGTCTCCACTCGCTTAGGTGGCCCCGCCATGAGGCAGAGCTGGCCAAGCCTGAAGGACAGAAAAGTGACCCTCTCTGAGGGCAAATGCTGTGGGGGCCCAGCCAAGGCTCTGCTATGTGGGCCCCACAATCTCTGCCCCTCATAAATCAGCTGGCAGCCCTCAGGTGCTGTGAAACAAGTTGTCTTATTGAAACGAGTGCAGAAACAAATGGAACAGACAACTTTTGCTCAGAAGCATATCAGGCACAATCCAAAAGAATTAGGGACAACCACAAAAAAAGAGACAAAAATCATGTGACACCTTCAAGACTAACTGCTATACTGTATTTTAATGTGTGCTTTTGTGACTCAGCAGAAAGTATTGGAAAGATCCCCAAAACAGCACAACTGTCTTATTGTGTCTCAAAGTAAGCAAAGAAAAGCATTCACGTCTAAAGAGAGAGGACCCTTAATGCTGTAATTGTCTGTAATTCGGTATATGTTTGTACAAGGCACAGTCTGTAC